TGAAAGTGGAGCTTTTGCTTATGTTGGTGTTCCGTTCAAGTCAGAGGCTGCGTTCATACTTTGCGGCATCGCCCATCGGCGTCTACCAGCTTCCGAGCGTCGGCAGCGTCTACTAGCGTCGGCCAGCGTCCACCAGCGTCTGCCAGCGTCTCGAGGGCTGAAGAAGCATAGGTATCGATCTAGCGTCTGCCAGCGTCTACCAGCGTCCACCAGCGTTCACCAGCGATCGGGAGTAGGGGACTAGGCGGGAAGCAAACAGCTGGATTGGGCGTCGTGGAATTACGGCGTGTGCAACCGACCGTACAACTACACTACACCATACATTAAATTGCGTAATTCTGTGCTTTCAGTAGTTGTGCGGTGCGGATGCACACGCCGAAATTTCACGACGCCTAATCCAGCTGTTTGCTAGACTCCTACTTCCCCATACGCTCTACTCTCGGTGAACGCTGGCAGACGCTAGATCGATATCTATACTTTCCTAGTCGCTGACGCTGCCAGACGCTCGGAAGCTCTAGTGAACGCTGGTGGAGCGCTGCCGCAAAGTAAGAACGCAGCCTGAATGATTTTCGAATTACGACCCGAGGAGATTCTGAATCGGAAGGCACGCGTTTATAAAAAAATCCACAGTGATATTGAAATCCTTTTGTTCACAACTCTTATTCCGATCCCTAGCGCATCGCAGCCAACATGGATACTTTCTTTGAGGGCTGTAAGACTCATATGGGAATCAGAGACTTGTGCGAGTAGTTTCAGCAGATATAAAATGGTATTCTGACGTAGATTCTTACTTACCATTCAGGTTACCCTTCAGCCTGTCCTCGTCACGCATCTCGCGGGAAACGGCACTACAAAGTCTCGCCTCGTGCAGGTGGAACCATCTGCTGAACTCACCAAAGAAGTTAAAGCACATTTCAGTGGCGCTAGAGTGAAGAAGGATCTATGGACGGACAATCCACTTAATCCTTTTGGAATAATGTCGGTGGGAATAACTTCATTTCACCTGTTCTGGCTACATTGATTTAGCTTAAGTTGTGTTTAGTTTCTACCAACCCTGAAGCGCATGGTGTATAGGTCAATGTCAGGTGAGCAGGCACTCTCCTTCACTTCTTGGACTTCGAACTTTGGATAAATGAGTAATTGTCATAGATATCCTTGACGACAAGAAACTTCTGCAACAACTAGAAGCGGAAAAATTCGATGTCGTTATTACTGAACTTTTCGACTTCATTGGTTTAGGTAGGTTATGTCATCATACACATCCAGATACGGAATATGCATAAACTTACCCAAGGTCCTGTCCGCCACGCTTCGTGCTACCAATTTTTTTGAGGAGGAAGAAGCCTAATTCGCTTTCCATATGGGTGGAGAATGATGAAGGTGTCAATCCGAGGCGGGGTTGCTCGTCTCCGTGACGTGGTGCGCGCTGACTAGTTAAAAAATCTACACCGTGCATATTTAACACGATTTTGTTTGTCGAGCGGCCGGAGCTTTAGGCGCGAACGCAAACCTTCCGTTGCCGGATCCTTGGGAAAACCTCACCTTGTCGGATTTTTCTGACATGTTTTTTTAATTTCTCTATTTTTGACAAGTTTCCATGCAATTTTTACGTGGGCCAAAAGTGGGCTTTTGTACTTTTTGAGTTTGATTATTGGAATCGAGCAGGAATTTTTTCACTAAAAATTTTGTACAAACAATACTGGAGTAAATAATACACAAATAATACCCCGAACATTTTCATGTATTTTCTTGTAATTTCCTTCAATTTTACTCAAAATTTTCTCCTTTTCTACTTTTGAAAAAGTTCATTTCAATGAGGAGATTGTTTTGGATAGGCGTAGTGATCGAATCAATTCTCAAAAATCAAGCTTCTTCCAGAAAAAAAAATACATAAATGTTGATGTAGCGTTAGTGTAATTATTTGTAACAGGTATTTTAGTAAAAAGGGGAAAATTAGGAGAAACGACGCGAAAAGGCGCGATGCACTGCTCGAAGTTCAAGATTTCGTTCCAGTGAAAGTGTTGCCTCACTTTTACACAAACATCCATCGTGTTTTTAGTGCACGCCTCTGCGGTTGTGTTAATATATATTCGTATCTGTTGCTTTGCACTATGTTTGTATTAACTGAAAAAGGGAAAAAGTACCAAAAACAAGCGGAGAGGCGCGCGTATGTAGAGATTAGGCATATAGCTACTGGTTTGGGAGCACACCTATTGCTGTCTATCAATGAACGGCGATCTTGGTCCTCAGAAATTTGTTGCCTTATTTGTCATCGCTTCCTGTTAAAACTTCTGAACAATACTTGTTGAAAACAGACGGCACCAATGCTCTTTGATTTTTTGTGCTGAATGACGCGGCTTTCTCTGCATGTCAGTCAACAGTAAGATGGATTGTCAGTAAAAGTAAAAGTTTATGGATGGTATGTGTATTCTTTCATAGCTGCGTTCAATTGGCGACCCATCTCCGCTATGAATCGATAGAAGGATCTGCTGTGTCGTTAAGTACTATGGAACAATGGAACAGTTACCGCAGGGCGCCATCCACAACTGAATCGATATGGATTCCAAAGTGGGTTTTTTCCTCTACAAGAGGATAACAGCATGAAGCGTGGTAGACAGGCGTTGGGCACACTTATGCATGTCCCATGTCAGGATTACGCCTTCTTCATATATGATGAGAAATGAGAAGTTCTCCAGAGTAGTCTTATACTGTAGAAGGGCAAAATGCTGTTCCCGAGAATGTGGTTGGTGACGCGGGCATCTTATACTTTTGCTACTTCCCATCGAGTCGACCCATCTAGAGAGCCTCTTCGTGGGTTGATAGGCTTCACCATGGTGGCTCGACGAGGCTGCTCCAGCTTCACAAGAGTTCTCAGGTTCACCATAGTGAGAGTTGTGAACCGGAACTAGTGAAGCAGCAAATGTGCAAAATGCCCCCCCCCTTCCGTCGCCGACCACCGCCTCCGAAAGGATTCCTAACTTACTCAGAGTTGAAAGCTTTTCAGAGCAACGATTATAACGTTTGTTCTGCTGAAGCCTCATGACTTGGGTGGCGAGCATGGAACCAACTGGGCAAACTGAATTTCGCGACTGAACGTTGCAATTTCTAGAACGTTTCATCTAGTACAAACACCACAAATTGGCTCTTCGGGACGTTTGTGCCTATCCTACTCATATGCAGATTTACTCCTATGAAAATTGTGCACGAGTGATTCAAGGGTGTTTCCTAGGAATAGTGTGACTATACACTCGAAATCCCTGAGATGCGGTAGGCGTGGCTGCGTACTTCAACTAAACGTGGTGGTGGCTGTGCTTTTGGTGAGATATTTTCATTTTGACACAATCATGGTCATGTCTCTGTCCAACACAGAACAAGATGACAGTTGTCTCAAACTGAAATATCCCACGAGTGACCCATTCTATGCCATGTTCAAATGCCACGCCTACTCCGTCTCAGGGATAAGGAGTGCATTTATGTATCTTGTGTACTGATTTTGTGGACATTGCAGGAGTTCTGGAAGCCATAAAGATCAAAAATGTTGTTGGAGTGCACACAATTGAATGCGTGATGGAACGTACTGCTCTATCGATAGGCCAGCCAGTGCTTCCCAGCTTCATGCCAGGTACAGAAGAACTGAGCTCGGTAACTGAAGTCTCGCATGTCATTCGAAGCGCGTTGGCCACCCCGCTTGTGCGATAAGGTTGCCGGTTTACCGCCCCCATCGCTGACCCTCCTAGCGCCTTAGCTTGGGCATCTAGACGGTTTCCGGATCTCCCTGTGCAAAGGCGGTGCAGGGGCATCTTGGGACCGCCCAGCCTCCAGGAGTTTCTCAGGAGTCTTCCCAGGGGCACCGGAAAAGGAGCACATCAGCGGGACTACGCAAGAGATTAGTGGCGATATGCAGAACAAGAACACATAATGCCTGCCTACTAGCGCTCATGGCGGAACCCTTGCCCTCCTCTTTTCTCAGACAACAATGCCCCGACGCTCTTTCCTTCCTCGGAGAACAATGCCCTGACGCTCCCTCTTTCCTTCCTCTTTCCTCAGACAACAACAAATACACGTGAACTACAAGACACATTTACTGAAGACATGTCCTTTCCATAAACCGCGGCCTCATGCAAGACTCCTGCCGGCGCGTGGACTGACCAAGCATACGCAGACGTCGGGGACATCTTTCTTCTTCTTATGCGCTGCCAGCTCCCATGATGACAGATGGGAACCCAATGAGCAACTGCTCCCTCGGGCTCAAGCGAAGCAAGGCCCGATGGGGGAGGCTGGACACAGGTATACCGGCGCCCATTCAGGACGGCTATGCATGCCTGCCACAACGCAGCGCTCAGCCCATGTCTTGAGCTGTGCTTCACATGCTGTCCTGCCATAATTTCAGCTTCTAGCCCCAAGGTCACCTTTGAGCGGCAGATGAGAGAATGGTGCGAGCTTGCGCATATTGCCGGCGCATGCAACGCGTTTTGGCATTGGAGCATGGCAGTGATTTCAGGCGCGCGGTGCGCCTAAGGTATGAGTCGCGTACCTCAACCCCACAGCGAGAAAAGGCAGCCGGGGAACGGAATTATTCCATCTCTCCTGACTCTGCTCCGACTGATTGCGGCGATATCATTCATACTTGCTGTTGAAAAATGCCGGTTTGCTACACCGCTTTTCCCGAATTGTGTGCTCCAGAGAATTTTACAGTTTCAGGGATTGCAGGACCATTCCGACGACTACTTTGCATTTTCTGTTCACTGACAGTTCATTGACATCGTATCTTCAATATCACTACACCAATACCCACAATTCCAATTGACATATTGCATTTGCCTCGTATCGCGGGGTATTCCGATCAGGGCACGTCATACAGTGTCTCCAGAGGGGTATTTGGTCGCTAGGGAGGGGAGGGTCGTATTTGGTCTGAAAAAGTCTCATTTGATTGTTGACTTTTCCTCTTTCGCGGGCTCTATTCATTAGGAGGAGAAGGAGGAGAGACATATTCAGGAGAAGTCCATTGGGGGTGGGGGGGGTATTCACTCGATTCACGCAATTTTCGGAGAAGAACTGAAAAAAATCCTGGAGACTTATGAAATTTCAGGAAATGTGGAAGGAAGCTGGGAAGAGCTGGCAAGTCAGCAGGTAGGGTAAAAAAGGAAGGGTCGTATTTTTGAAAAAAGTTTCCCCGGCGCAAACTGCTTTCGATGCCATAGCTTTCTAATTTCTGGAAATGTTACTATT